CAGTAGCACGGCGACGAGGACCGTGCATCCCGTCCCCTCCATCAACGACCAAATGTCTGCCGGAGCCAGTATGGACGTAAATTTAACCCGAAATAATGCTGACTTTAGGTGTTAGGAAAGAATGACTGTAACTCCTCGCATTTGGAGTAAACGCATCAGGAATGCGGTTTACCAAATGCATCAGAAAGGCTGCTGCATCATGAAGAGAAATGCCGGTTACGAGTGTGACGTGAGTCGATGCACTTAGCCCATTGAGTCCAGCTCTTAGAGCTGTTATAGATGCGATGGTCTGTGCTCCAGCCGAGCATGAATGGTGAGTTATCAAAGTGGCTACCAGGGGCGAATATCGAAGCGAAGACTACAGTTAAATGAGTATGTGTCGGCACTAGTGTTGTACATTCATTTCGGCTCAGTCAGTTATGACCTTTGTGCCAAATTGTCCTGATGGGGGTAAGCAAGAACAAAGTTTCAAAAGCAAAATGAAGTGTGAATTACTAACAAGTTACCTGAATAAAAAGCAATCAATTGCGATAAAACCTTTGATCAAAAAGCAGTAGGACTAGACGCTGTAGAGATGCCTGAAAATCATAAGCTTATTGATCCGTGAGCCAGGTGACTTTTTCTACACATAACAGGTTAATTTAAAAGGACGTTTGAGAAACCAATTGCAATAAATTAAAAAGAAATACAAATTAATGGAGCACTGGCGACTAGGACTCCAAGAAAAGCACACTAAGCCCACAAAGATTGAGAAAATGGTACAATGTCAACATCTTTGTATCACAGCTACGTAGTTCGACAAACGACGAAAAGAGACAGTCTGAGAAAGTGACCACATGCAGGTCACATACAGAGAATAAGAACAATCGCTTGACCAATGCTGTCAGTTATGATGTAAAACAAAGTAACCCATGTAAAAGACACAGCACATAGCACGTTATTAAATGTTAAACTCAAATATGGAAATGATGTAAGCCAAACTCGGTTCGAAAGGGTTAATACATATCCAACTGCCTTAAAGCGAAAAGATTGACACCAAACAAATGAAAAGCAGATAGAAATTTAACAACCAGACCCTACTATAGCTATATCGAAGGTCATATGACATCTTACTTATAGTGAGCTAAAAGTTGCTGGCTTAAAGTATAAGAGATGAATGAGGCAACAATAATCTTGGAAAAAAGGAGGTAATTCAACGACGTTACATACATAACGGCGTCAGTCAAATATATTTATGGTTAAACGTAGGAAAAACAAAATACTTCATCCGTAAGCGGCAAATAGATTGTAAGTCTTAAGCAAATTATTTTTATCAGTATCAAAAAAACAAGTCGGAGGTAAAGAACAAGTTGCGCAAGGCTATTAAGAGTTTGTCCCATACAGCAATTTAAATGCATTTCTCTTCAAACAGTTTCTTGTTGTTCTGGCCACCGCAGAGGATAATCAATGGTGCCCTATCTGCTGCATCGAGCAGGGTGGATAGGGGTTTGAATGCTACTGCTCAAGCTTTCCCCCTCTTACCCTTTTTCACTCTTAATGTCCCGTTCCAGCTTCACTTTAATCCCCTCAGTTCTCAACCCCCAAATTCCTGGCCCTCCCCCACCTTGCCCTGTAAGGCTCTTACCTTCTAGTTTCAACTCACATGTGAACGCGGAGCGCCATTTCTGCCCTGTCGACAAGCCCAAGTCTAAGCAAGTGGCCAAGTACAGTACAACGGCTTCCGTTTGAAGCCCTCGATCATCCTTCAGATTGGCATGCCTCAAAGTACGCACATTGCTTCAGATCGGTCAACAGGAAGCACTTGCCCGAACATTAGAGACCCTCACGATCGATATCTGCTGCTTATCGGAGACCCGCCTGCAAGACCCGAGCACAATGCTCACTTTGCAATCCCATTCAGGTGACGCCAGCAGTATTTTCTCATTGCGCCTATCCGGTGACGATGCGGCTTCGAGTACCGGCCAAGCCGGTGTTGGTATTGCCCTCAGTCTTCTGAATGAAGCCGCTCTAGTTGACTGGATTCCAAGCAGTAGAAGGTTGCGTGCGGTCCGATTGGCTGGCTCATTCAAATCTTCAAAGTCGCGTGGGACTAACAGATATCTATTCGTTATCGCTGCCTAGGCACCCACAAACTGGCGACGCTTCCGTAAAAGACGACCTCTAGCATCAATTGGACGAGCTCCTTCGACACAGAAGAAGCTCGAACACTGTCGTGCTGGCTGGGGTGCTAAACGCTCAAGTTGGAAAATTATAAACTGATAAACGGCATCTAGGCGGCCAACATGGTGTAGGCTACCGTAATGCTAACGGTGAGCGGTTACTGCATTTGTGTGAACATGCCCGCTTATTTCTTGCGAGCACTAATTTCAGACACAGCACCCGCCGAAAACTTACCGCGATAACTTACCGATGGAGAGGATACGTCTAGAAATGTCGCTCGATTTGGAGCACATGTGTAGACACCGACCATGCACTTGTATGTGCTAACCTGCGGATGCGCTTTGGCGGACGCCCACGACGACGTTGTGACCGCATTGACACCAGCCAACTAGCGAAACCAGCTGTTCTGAACGTCTATCAAAGTACGCTGTCATGCGAGTAGGATAAACGCTCACTGGATGCAATTGAAGCTCACTGGTCTCATATTTACCAGATCTTACTAGCAGCAGGAAAATCCTCATCTGGTATGTCTAAGCGCCAACATGGACATCGGGTCTCTTCACAGTCTCTGGAACTTATCGATGCTCGCCGGCATATTCCGGCTGGAAGCGAGCACAATGAAATCCCGCAAAGAGCTTCGGGTAAAACTTCGTGCTAGCCTGAAGAGAGACCGCGAATCTTGGTGGTCTCATCGTGCGTCAGAGATGGAAATGGCCGCTGCCCTTGGTAACCATCAGACGTTATTCCGGCTGATACGGGAATCCGGCAGCAGACCTGGTGTTAGTGAAACTATACGTGACGATAGTGGACAGCCTATCAACAACTTGTCAACACGTTTGGAGCGTTGAGATAAGCACTATGAAAGGCAACTTAACTGGTCGGAATTGTTAGATTTCTCGCTGACTACTGATCGCCCCGCTCCCTGGGCTGTCCCTTTGGATCCACCCTCTTTCTCAAAAGTCGAACGTGAGATCGCACTGTTAAATAAAACCGCGGGAGCAGATGATCTTCCTCCAGCCCTCTTCAAATTCGGGGGACCTGCTCATGAGGATGATATACACGTGTTATTAGTGAAACTGTGGGAACAGGAAACTGACACAACCGACTGGAACCGTCCCATCATAGTCCCAATTTTCAAGGGAGACTAACGATCGGAATTCGGCAACTATAGAGGAATCAGTCTGATCTCCATCGCCTCCAAATTGCTTGCCTCCGTCATCCTTCACAGACTGACTGGCACTCGTGAAAGCCAGATTCGTGAAAAGCAAGCCGGGTTTCGTCGAGGTCATGGCTGCATTGACCACATCTTCACTTTGCGTCAGTTGTTAGAACACTGTCACATATATTGGCGGCCCACCGTTGTCGTGTTCCTCGACATCAAAGGTGCATTCGATTCGGTAGATATACATGCACTTTGGGACTGTCTACTCAGAAAAGCTGTACCTGAGAAATATGCAATTATTATCCGAGCATTATACGCGCGTAGCTCAGACAGAGTGAGGGCTTACGGCAAGTTGTCGTCGCCCTTTAATATCTCCAGCGGTGTGAGACAAGGATGCCCGCTGTCACCTTTCCTCTTCAACTTCCCTATTGATGAAGTCATGGAAATCGCGTTTACAGGACACGAGTTAAAAGGTGTGGATCTGCTGCCAGGAGAACGACTTCTTGACTTAGAGTATGCTGTCGATATTGCGCTAATCTGTGACAGCTCACAAACGTGCCAAGCGACACTGGACAGGTTAGCACTAGCTGTCCGTCACTTGGGGTTTTGCTTCGCACCCTCGAAGTGCAAAGCCTTCCTCCAAGGTTGGTGTGGGCCGCCTCCTACGCCGACCCTTAATGGGGATCAGCCAGAAGTCGTTCAAAAATTAAACTACCTGAGAAGTGGTATCAGTGGTCGTGAGATTCAAGATGAGATCACAAACCGTAAAGCAATAGCTCGATGCGCTTTTGCTAACCTTCGCCACTTATGGTGCCGGCGCGACATCACTCCCGACCTGAAGGGTAGAGTGTGCAATGCAGCAGTACGATCGACCTTACTGTACGGTTGTGAAATCTGCTCCATTAAAGTAGCGGACATAAAGAGGCTAGTTACGTCGGACTATCTGTGCCTTCGCAATTTAGCTCACCTCTGGCGGGAACATCGCGTGAGCAATGAGCGGGTTCAACTCCTTGCTTCCGGCACATGAAAAGGAAATGAACCGCTCAGCACCGTTATTTCACTCACCAGGCTCCGATGGCTCGGCCACGTGTTACGCATGCCAGTCCACCGACTTCCGCGACGTGCATTGTTTGCGCGCCGGGGGTGTGGATGAAAGGAGAGGAAGGGTGGCCAAACGAGGACTTGGTCCAGAGGAATGAAGGCCATCACTTCGAAGCGGGCCTCAGTTGGAGCGTCCCGGCTCTCTGGTTGGGGTCCGAAAGACGATGAACACGTTTGGCTGGATACAATTGTTGATATGGCTAGGAGCAGACCTCAGTGGTGTCCGTGCTGTGAGTTTCTTTGTCCCAGCCCATCCCTCTTAGCCTCCCCCTCCAACCACGATCTCATTATTTAGACTTTTTTAGTTTTGCATAGTAAATTATTTTTTCTACTGCACAGTAGCCGGCAGTAAGCTACCGTATCGAGGCCCATACGTTAACCGTAGCTCAGCTGGCATGCCTCCGTTGAATTTTATTCCATTTTTTCTTCTATGTATTGCAGAACAGTAATTGAGGTGTTTCCCACCTCTAGCTATCCTGCATAATGATGATGATGATCTTAATAAGGCGAAAAATAAACTAAGGACAGCCATCAATGTGTAAAGAAGCCACCAAGTAAAAGTCATGGTAGAACTTACTTCTACTTTAGCAATAAGTTCATCGATATCTCTGTTTGTGTTGAACTCAGCCTCGTCTACGTTTGCCATTCGCCATACTGCACCAGTGTCCCTGCGGAAAAGCTAATAAGAAAATGAATGCTACGATCAAAACACAAATAATCAATAAAGCAAACAGAATCATTTGTAAACCATACAGAGTATTAATAAATGTGATAGCTAGGCCAATAATCGACAGGGAAGCAAGAGTGCCTTAGCAAGGGATTTGCTATATCAAAACCACTTTCAGTAATATAATAGAGGTCGATGAAGTTGGTTTGTGGTCAAAAGCCTTTGCTTAATGGAGCTGAGAAACACTCATCATGGTCGTCAGAGCTTGGTATTTCTATGTCAATATGTCACGTTTTGCAACAAAAGTTGTAAAGATGCAGCCTGTGAAAGCTTAGATACGACAAAGGTCTGCGTAAATGGTCGCATCAAAACCTAGCTTGCACTAAGTGATTGCTTTAAACATACTCCGTTTATAAGAAAAAGACTTGTGTAGTATAATTATAAAAGACAGGCGTGAATCTGTTTCCCATATTAATGAGTAACCGAACAACGTTACAATACCGCAAACGCATGAAACCACTTTATTGGATTCAGGAATTGTCAACCGCAAGTACTACTGAGAAGTATTGTAATTTGATGGCATGGCAGGGAACTTCTATTTCTGGAAATCGATCTTCTATAGATCGAGGGTGCACGTAAAAGGCTGAGGTGATATCTGACATTAGTCTAATGAGAACATGTATACAACACCAACAAATGGCAAATCATGTAGTCCAGCCAATGTCCCCATGCCTCAGTGGCTTATTGTACCGGCCTACAAGCTGACCAGTACAAAATGCTATCATCAAGCGTTCACTTTCTTTTCAGCTGTGCTGAATGCTGCGCTCAAAGATCAACGCGCCCGGCTATCACCGGTGCTAAACTTTCAGCGCTGGCTTCAAGGTTGGCAGATGTTGAGAAGGCGATAGCCAAACTCGCCGCTATTGCGTCGCTCGATACGAAAAAGGATTTGGGTTTAAAATCCCTGAATATTTCGATTGAAGACATTGCAATAGACGGCAACATTGCTGACGATCCATCCACTGGGGTCTGTCAATCGGTCATGAAGTCGCACATCCTACAGGCCAATCCAGGTAGCATTGCTGGCTATCCTCATGAGCAGATCAAAGTGAAGAAAAATAGGGTGCGGAAATACCAAAAGCCGTCTGCTAAACCCAGAGAATTAGTTGCCACGGCATCGAAAAAGATGCTGTCTTTGACAGTCATAAAGTCGTCTGACGATTGTGCACAGGAGAACCTTCCGAAGATGCTGACCGTCTCGGCCGCCACTGAACCAGCCCGTTCTGACGAAGTGTTGGTAACTGCTCAATGCGATACAAGGTCAACGGCCCCTGCTCAAGTGAACCAAAAGAAGAAGCGGACTAGATCTGCTCGTAAAACTTCGAAGGGGCTTGAAGACCCAGGAACTAGTAAGACGCCGGCAATAAAAAGGAAAACCTACGCTACCGTTGCTTCGACGTTTGTGAAGACACGGACAGTCCCACTGCCAGTGGTGAAAACATCTGGTATAGGTGTCGAATCCAAGGCACGTGGGGTAAACACTCCCAGTCGTGCCAACTCTTTTACGGATAGTAGCGTTATATTCCGTAACGTTATTGTATCTGCGGTCGCTCTTCCAAGGGAACGCATCTTGGATGACGTCAAGTGGCTGAAACTGTGTGTCAGCAAGCTGCTTCCACCTGGTGTTCCTGGTGTCACTGTCAGAAAGTTGACCAGATTGGGGAACGTCCCTATCGCTACGTCAAATCCGCGACCCCGACTACTTCGCGTGGTTCTTTCTACCCCGGAGGAACGCAACTCATTACTGCGGTTTGCATTCAAACTTAAGGGTAGTGGTGTCAACGTTCAGCCGGACCTACCACTGGCTGATAGATTAAAGTTAAAGGAGGCTATCAAAAACCTCAAAACTAGACGGGCGGCTGGTGAGCAAGGCCTCCGTCTGGTGGCTTTTCAGGTGGTCAGCCGGAAGTTATTTTCCGCCGTATCAGAACCCATCCTGATGGCACACCAACCAGGGATGGTCGTGCCGACTTCCTCGAGGTAGTACTTAGCAACGTGCGAAGCCTAAGGAACAAGGTGTACGAGTTGGGTCTACTTGTAGACAAATCTTGTCCCGACATACTTGCTTTCACTGAAACGTAGTTGTCTCCGGATATCACGGACGGTGAGGTATGTTTACCTGGCTACGCGCTGCTTAGAACTGATCGCTCCGTTGGTCGCCAAGGCGGAGGCGTTGTACTGTATGCGAGCTGTAACTTAGATTTGTTGAGGACCTGCACATTCCAGTCGTCGGATCAGACTGTTGAAGCCCTATCGGATGTTTTGTGCACTTCCTCTACCCAGTTTACAGTTGTAGTGATATACAAGAGTCCTGGAAGTTCTTCTAGGAAGATATTTGACTTTACTCGCACTCGGTCTGCGAATAAGTATTTAGTTCTAGGGGATTTTAACCTCCCGGAAGTCTGTTGGGCAGATCTTTCTTTCAATTCGGCATTAGGAACATTCGGTGCAGACTTTCCCGAACTGACTCTCCAAGTGCCTTTGCACCAGTTCGTGGCCTTTCCAACTAAATATATGGACAACCAAATACCATCTACTTTAGATTTGGTTTCCGTTAAGTCCCTCGACTTCATGACTGACGTTTCATACGTTGCACCTCTAGGGTCAAGCGATCACGCATGCATATCCTTTCGATGTGCTCTTTCAAGGCACCAACAGACCGCTGTTGAATTACTTCCGAATATTTGGCGAGCGGACTTTAGTGCAATGCGAGCTAAGGCTTCAGTTCTGAACTGTGATGTCTCGATGGCTGACTTTGTCCAGTTAGCCTGGGATAAATTTAAGGTGTACCTTACGGAGGTTTCCCCTCCCTATATCCCACTCTTGAGGAAAAGAAGGTTAAGGGCATAGGATAGATATCACAGGCAAGCACCTACTACAGAAAAAGTCTAGATGCTGGCGAACCTACCAAGCACCTCTATCAGCCAGTACCTATGATAGTTATCGAGAGATTAGAAATAAATGTAAGCAACATCTCAGAACTGTTCGTCTCCAGTACGAGTAGGGTTTAGCGGACTCGGCCGCAGCTAATCCCAAGAAGTGTTTGCTTACGTTAAAAGACGCAGCGGGGCAAAACTGCCTATACCAGCGTTAATGCGAGCAGACGGGACCCGTGCGCAAACTGACTATGACAAGGCATGTATACTTAGTGATCAGTATCATGGGGTCTTTGCTCAGGAGACCTCTTTACCACAGGTTGAATTGGTTTCAAGAGTTCCAGAGGATTCTTGCTTAGCTGAGTTTAGCATAACGGAGACTCAGGTCTTCGAGTTACTGCAAGGCATTAATCTATCTAAAGCTTCCGGTCCTGATTCAATTCATCCGAAGCTGTTGCATGAATTGGCCACTGAGCTGAGTGGTCCGCTCACATGCGTGTTTTCAATCTCGCTTGACAGCTGCGTCCTACCTTCGGAATGGAAGGAGGCAATCATCTGTCCGATTTTTAAGGGCGGTGACAGCGCTCTACCCGCGAACTACCGGCCTGTCAGTTTGACAAGCGTAGTAGTCAAGTTGATTGAAAAGCTGATAAGAGATTCAGTGGAGAACCCCCTGAATAGATTCTACCTTCGCAGTGTTGCGCAACATGGATTCCGCAAGGGATTTTCATTTCAGACTAATCTACTTGTAACTCGTGAAAGCTGAGCCAAAGCGGTAGACAGTGGCCACACTGTAGACGTGTTATTCGTGGACTTTTCGAAAGCTTTTGACACTGTTCCACATCTCCGACTCTCACTAAAGTTGAGATCTTACGAATATCTGCTCGCGCGCTTCAATGGGTGACTGCATTCCTTGAGGGGAGGGAACAGTGCGTACTGGTAGGGCGCAGCCTTTCGCTCAGGCAAGCTGTACTTAGTGGCGTCCCGCAGGGCGTGGCATTGGGGCCATTGTTGTTCGCGATCTATGTAAATGACTTGCCGGGAGAGCTAGGGGTGTCAACACCAATGTTTGCTGACGACCTTAAGCTCTGAAATATTGTGGATATCCCGGGGGTCCTGAGGCAATTCAGCATGCCTTGGATAGGCTCTGGGAATGATCTACCTTATGGTTGATGCCCATAAATAGGGCCAAGTGCGCTGTTCTCCGAATCGGAGCTGCTAATCCTCCCACCCGATATGTTGTCGTCGGTGGTGAACTCCCTGTTGTCACTCAGAAGGTTGATGTGGGAGTCGTACACGCATCAGCACTTCATTCTGGAAACAATTAGAAGGCTGCTTGTCGAAGGTTTCGCATGATGTGGTTTATCCGCCGCTCTTTCGGAATCCTAACGGCCAATTTGTTTATGAAGCTATTTTCGGCATTCGTCCTACCCCACCTGGAATATTGTATCCAGGCTTGTCCACCATGTCTTAACCGAGACAAAATGGACTTGGAGAGGGTGTTACGAGTGGGCACTCGGCTGGTGCAGGGTCTACGGGGACAGACGTATCCTGAAGGCTTGCTCAAATTGGGGATGTACTCAATGCACTACCGAAGTATAAGAGGAGACCAGATTCTCACTTATCGTATTTTGACGGGTAAGATTGGTCCGGACTTGTCAGGGCTATTTAGTCCCGCTACGTTACCGAATCTCCGCGGTCACCCACGGAAACTGCATAAACCACGGTCTGATAGGATAAGGACGGAAACTTGTCCGTCGGGTCGAGTTATAGATCGCTGGAATTTGCTTCCAGATCAGGCGGTTAGGGAACCTATGGTTAAGGGTTTTACGCGTCAGCTCGATGATCTTGGGTGGCAACAGCAACCCTTTCCTTTTTCTCTACTGACGCACCTTTACTTTACGGTTATTTTTAATGACTCAAATATCTTGGTATTACACTTGCTTAGCTCTTTCCACTTTCCCTTTGGTCTTCTGAGTTCAATTTTTTCCTTCACGTAACCGACCCAGCAGGGATTGCTAGGGCAGGATACGTGGACATTAATCGGTTGGACAGGGTGTGATGCGGTCTTTGTTTTAGGTCCATCAGTATTTCGAAGTCCGCCAACTCCTGGTTCAACGACCCGCCGAAGAAGGAAAACTCACAGGATAATCCTAAGGTTCCAGTCCAGCTTATACTTGAACTTGAATTTATACTGCTGGCTATTTGGCATCAGCCTCTAAAGGTCATGGGTTCGATCCCCAGTAGGGGACAGAGAGAATGCGCACCACTGACAAACCCCAATAGGACGAAACGCGACTGGTGTTTTCCGGTATAGTTTGTGCTTTATCTTTGCATTATCTTATTCTTGCTTAAATTATCTTTGCTTGCTTTATTTTATGCCTTAGCTATGCACGATAGTCAGCTGTTTGTGACGGTATGTTGTCTACACAAGGTGTAGGCGCCTTGACCCGGAATGTTTGCTTAGGGCATTAAGGTTTTCAGGTAAGTTCCCCTTCTCTCCCTCTTCTTATTCTTTATATCACAGGTCCTCATGGTTATATGGCAGCGAAGCATCAGTTCAAGTGGCTGATGTACTGCTGTTGCTGATGATGTGCTATGCAGCTTGTAAGCTAGTGCGATGAAGACTAAATAAAGTTGCCCAATACAAACTTGCTAAATGCACTGCAAGTACTCGTGGTCACAGAACAGTATATTAGATTTACTCGTCTTAAGTATTAAATATTGGCATCTTTCGAGTGGCTCCGGCAACAAGCGCGCGATTGCGTATGTAGATAAAGAATCTCAGGTTTTCCGAAGCATCATGTTGTTGTAATCGATGGACTGATAGCTGGTCAGCCAAGTACTGAGTGCTCTATGTCGCAATACATCAAGTATGATCACATGGTTGAGCCAAATAACTGCTACAGTTGGCATACTTAACTAACAAGTGCGAGTTAAACAGGATACTAATATACGCAGTGGAAACTAAGAGAATGATACCGAATCCTGCAAGTTGGTACCAGCAAACATCTGGCCGTTTTGTGATTATTATCTTTGTACTTTGGTTAGACCAGAGCAAGCGTATGCTCCACAGAAGCACAGCCTTTCTTAAGGCATTCCAATAGTCCATCTAACTGAAGGGAACTATTATGATAGAAACGTAAACAGAAAGTATGTCTGAATCCATTTGTTAAGTTAATTACCCAAATAAAATTATTGTTAGTGGCAAAATCGGCAAACAAAAGAACTGACTTGGAAAATATTATGCTTATTTCAAAACGGCATACTACTAGAGTATGACTGTCACTGTTTAAATAACGATGCGCACATAAATAAAGGATCTGGGCAATGTAGCTCTAAATAAAACATCGAGTCTGTTATGTTGCCTAGAAATAGTCCGTTGAAAATAGGCAATGATTAGAAAACCGTGAGAACATTTGTAGCTTGGGATGCGGATGATGGTATGTGGGTGTTCTCCTAGCTGGCTGATTTGGCTACAAACGTTTCATCGTCAGACTAGATGACATCATCAGTGCAATTTAGGCAAGCCACTTAGAGATCCAAGTGATTATTGATCACTTGTTTCGAACGTCAGGAGTCGATTGGTCCACGTGAGCTGACCGTGTAGTCAGCTCTCTCGTACTGTTGCCTAGAGACTCTGCATTAACGCCATAGATTAAAATCGAGTTATGAAAGATAAGCTCTTACCCTTGGGTCGATTCCATACAAATAACTTAACTACAGTACTTTATACTGCCAGAGCCAGTAAAGCTGACTTTAAGATCATAGGTAATAAAAGCTTTATTATAAAAGCGGAAGTAACGTAGTGATCCAAGATGCACTCAGAGTGAAAATGGAGGAGTCTAAAATTGTGTCAAAGCTCATGCTAAATACGAACACGTTTTATTAGTAGTAGTCTGATCCCGAAAGAGTAAGAATACAGAAGGTCATATGCGAGAGCGATCAGCAGTCCACCATGTATCGATAGTCCAAAAGCAACTCGTACCCCTGGCAAGGCAGTCGAAATGAAGTATGCAGATCCCATTTGCACCTAAGTTACTACATTGTACCCAAAAAAGTGAATGTGTCCAGTTTAAACAGTCCAAAGCAACAAGGAGAGGAAAATTGCCGAGAAGAACAAATTATAACAGCGTGGAGGAAACGCAGTCCGATGACTTGAGTGCACCTAAAGGCATACGTTATGTAAGGTGTAAACAATCAATGCAGTGTATCGCACTCCTAAAGCAGTGTATAAAAATCAGCTTGACTATCTAAATCTGAAATAAGGCAAATAGCTAAAAGAAAATTCTGTGCTAAATGGCAGAGCAGATCAATTCATCACCTTATCATGCTTCTTCAAGATTTTTCGAAAACCAGTGAAGTTCAGAACCTGATAGTTTTGTAGTAGAACGAGATTAAGGTAAAATTCGCTGAAGGCCAGTTTTAAATCTTGCAATTTCTTGTAGGTTTTCTCCGGCCGCTTGTGCATACGAATTTTAGATCCATCAACAAAAGGTTGGGAGCACCGGCGCCTTGACTGGGAATCCATTTCCGAGGCATAAGATCTTTCCAAAACCAAATTATCAAGTCCTAAACCTTCTGTATCATCTTTCTTAACGATTTCCTTATGTTCGATTGGTGAATGATGGAGTGACTCATGATGCCGGCGTGATGAAGAGGATTTCAAGGTAAAATATTTGGAGGACTCAAGAGCACTCTGGTGGTCAACTTCTTCCAAGAGTTCCAAAAACCTTCGTTTAACCGAGGCAAGTTTTTCTTGGCAAATGTAATGTATGAATGTACGTGTACCTGCGAAAAAGGAGTCCACCTTCTGCAACTGGACTTCGCATAAATAAAAGAAGTCCTTGTCTTGATTATCAATAAATGATATGAATTCGGCATCCCACTCTAAAAGTACAAAATATGCCGTTAAACACAAATAGAGTAGGAGACAACGAGCCCATCTGATAGGAAGTAAACGCTGATAAAAAATTTGTAAGAATCACGTAAAGCTACACATTGGACGGTAGAAACAACAAATTACCTTTAGATTCCCTAGCCTTTTTGTCAGCATAAGTGAGAAGAAATTCTTTCAGTGCCTGACAAAACGACGGCTGTTTAGAATGAAACAACTTACGTCATAATCAATGTATTGTTTCCTCCATTCCGGCGTTAGGTGAGCACTGAGCTTCGAAGCAAATTTCATGACAGCTAAAGAAGCCAAGTTATGATAAAATTTCACCCGTTGCCGCCTTAGCACGAACAAATTAGTTCACGGTTGTAGGTGACAACCGCGCGATAATTGCTTACATTGATAAAGCACGTACGTACTGCTTGAATGCACTCTTCATGACACGCAAGTTAACTGCTATCAGCTTTATACATAATAAAAGTGTTTACTCGAACGTTAATTTTTTATAAACGCTGTAAGAGTTTTAACGCTCATTAATGCGCACAAATTTGAGAACATTTCTTTTCTACTCGGTAAGCAGTAAATAACGGACTGGCGGGGAATATTTTTTTGTGGGCGTTCTTAAGATCAGTAGTGCTTTCAATGTTAAAGTTACAACAAAAATAATTATTTTAAAATAAGTAAAATCAAAGTAAAGCTGTAGGTTAATAAAAGCAATTACAGCGCCTATGATAATATAACACAATAACTTTCAAGGTTTCAATATTATCATATTGAAAATCCCTGACCATATACGTATTGAAATGAAATTGCAAGCCTTTAGCAATTGTTATGTAAATTTATATGTATATATACACACCCAATTAAAGAACATAAATGTGGCACCTTACTGAAGGTAAAGGAGTTAAAAATGTTCCCAAAAAAGTAAAATACAGATTAATGGAACATCAGAATGGATATCGACGACAATAAACATTTGAAGTTCAAATGCCGGCATTTATAAATTAATTTCCCTTTCATCGTTCATTGGATCAGTAGCATCAGACAATAGCTGCTGTACCAAACCGCACAGTATATTTTCGTTCTAATTATAGTCCGTTACATACTTGGTCGTGTTACTTTTCCTCGTTAATGGCGGTTCGGGTCGTCAAGACAAGCATTGATCTGCTCGAACAGTCTCAGTCTCGGTACGTATGTACCCTTTGTCCACACTACACAGACAGAAGCTACTCCGACGCCAACTTGGAATTACACTGTCGGTTGCACCACAGTGGATTCAGCCGCATTACGTGCATATACTGCTCTCGATCCATCTCAGTCACTTCTATAATTAAGCATATCGATAAGCACTTTGTACTGTCAGACCAGCCTCCCTATCCATGTCCACTTTGTCCTTTCGCCTACAACACGAGCAAATCGCTGGCTCAGCACGCTGTGATTGTCCACCATATTGCCCCCTCCACGGTGTTTTATAAATGCGGCCACTGTGATATGCCTTTCAACGACCACTTAGACCTCTCCAGCCATCTAGCAAGCTCTTGTATATCTCTTTATCATTGTCAATATCCCAAATGCTTCGTTAAATCTACTTGCTCAGATCTCGTCGCCGATCATTATTTTCGCCGTCACGGATCTTCTTCTGTGTGTTTTACAGTCACACGTCAAGTAAGCACTGTTGTTTTGAGTTTACCTTTGTAGTATATATGTTCTGACTACAGTTCAGCCAGTTTCACAGGCAAATCCAGCATCTCTACTCCAGTTAACAGTACATGCGCAAGATACAGCTTGTTCTGTTCTCGATGTGCTTTTGGAACGCTCAATCTAGATACATTCGCTAAACATCTTGTTTCGTGTCGACCCCTTTTACATGGTGACCTGTCAGTGACATGCACTTTACATCATTGTTTGCGATGCGGATGGACTTCCACTGTAAAAACCATGCTTCTCGAACATGTACACGAAGCGCACCCTGACGCAAACGTGAGTTTTCTTGCACACTTTACCTACTTTTTCGTGTCTTACTAACCAATTACTTTATCTGTGGCGGACTTTGTTTTTATATGTGTTTACGCTGACTACCCCTGGTTTAATTTTTTTCATTCCACTTTGCTGGTTACCTTGGAAATTGATCTATTTTTTCTACTGTTTGCTCCATTTCACCGCTTTTTTTCATAGCCTAATGTTCTTATTATCATGCGGCTTCTGGATTAGTCACCACCATTTACCTTTTATATTTAAATCATCCCTTTTCTAGTTAGACAATTATATCTAGAAACCAACTACTGCCATACAGTGCCTGTGCGGTGCATGCTGTTCGCTACTAGATAATCTGTCTATTCAAATCCTACAATTCGATCTCTTACCCTACTACTTTTAAGCTAACATGCATATTGGTCTATCCGTGGTTGTTTATTAGTAATTAGATTAACGGAGTGAATGGTTGTAGTTTCTGATACGTATCTAGTGGTAACCGCTATCTCTTTTAACTCGGATTGCTTTTCCTTTTGTTTAGTATATCGCTCACCCATCTGACTTACTGATTGGTACAAGTTCAGTTGGGACCGGAATCATAGGATAATCTCGTGAATGTTGTAGGACCAGTAAATACTAGTCCTGGACGGTGCGCGAATGTAAGCGCGGATAGCAGAAGGCAGTTGGAGTCGGACACTGCGGACTGTATTCGATGGGCTACAAGAAGACGCGGACGGATGTAGCAAGACAGAAGTTACACGTTAGCGCGGGAACTTACAAGGCGGTCGAGTGTCGAGCCGGTTGTAAGAAAGATTGAAACGAAAGAATAATGTACAATTGGTCAACAATTAAATAGTACGTAAAAGATGGCGGTTATCTTTTTGGGCGCTACAATGTTCCTTTTGTGTTTCGTTAAATCAGGACTCGATAGATCTGCTTTAACTGTTGAAAACCCTAAAACAAAGATTGCATCACACCCTGTCCAACCAATTACTGCCCACATTTTCCTGCCCATCAGTCCCTTCTAGGCCAGCTTGTGTAGTAAGTAAAAGTGAAGGGTATGTTGAGAAAACAAGAGGAGGAAAGTACCCTAAATACTATTAATACCAAGTTATGAGAAATAGAAAAACCGAACAGAAAGTTTAAGATACAAGTCGGTTAAGAGACGGGGAAGGTTTAGTATTGCCACCCCAAAGCATCTCACTGACGCTCGAAACCCTCGACCGTAAACTTCCTAACGACGTGCTCGGGAATCGAGTACCAAACTTCAGTAACCCGGCGCGACAAGCAAGTTTCCGTCCTTATCCTGTCAGAACGCAGTTTGTGTAACTTCAACAGGTGACGTCGAAGACGGCAGCTTGGCGCGACTACATATCCAGGACAGGTCTGGACTGATATTACCCTTTGGGATACGGTAAGTGAGGATCAAGTCTCCTCTAATTCTGCGGTAGTGCATTGAGTACATACCCAAGCTAAGTAAACGCTCTGGATACGTTTGCTCCCGTAATCCTTTCACTAACCTTGTACCCATTCGCAATACCTGCTCCAGTTCCATTTTGTCCCTTACAATACATGGTGCACAGGCCTGATTACACTATTCTAAGTGCAGTCACACAAAAGCTGAGAACAGCTTCACAAAAATATGGGCCGTTAGGATACCGAAGGAGCGGCGAATAAACCACATCATACGGAACCCTCTACATGCAGCCTTCCTCCCCAGAGTGAAGTACTGAGGTATGGATGATACCTAGATTTCAATCTGCTGAATGACAACAGCGATTTCACTTCTACAAAATTCATAGCGCGTGATGGGACTAGCACAATGCGGAGGACAGAACATTTCGCCTGATTTATAGACATCAACAATAATGTTGACCACTCCCAGAGCCTGTCTACTACACTCTTAATTTCCTCAGGGCCCCCAAGGATATTCACGTTATTCCAGCGTTTGCGGTCATCGGCAAACAATAGCGGTGGCACTTCAAGCTCCCGGAATAGGTCACTGACATAAATTGCGGAAAGCAGTGGCACTAAAACCGCGCCTGCAGAACACCACTAAGAACAGCATGTCTAAAAGAAATGCTACGCCCTGCGCGTACACACTATTCTCTTCCCTCTAGGAAAGCAGGCACCCATTGAAGGACGCCTCCAGATATCCCATTCGATCTCAACTTTAGTGAGTCGCTGATGTGGGACAGTATCAAAGTTTCTGGCGAAGTCAATGAAAAGTACATCAATAGCATGATTGATGTCTACTGCCTCAGCCCAGCTTTCACGGGCTACAAGTAAATTTGTCAGACAGAAAAATCCCTTATGGAAACCGTGCTGTACAGCACTGAGAAAGTTAAACTTATTCAGGTGATTCTCCATCAAATCCCTGAATAGCTTTTCCAACAACTTAACTACTACGCTTATCAATCTGACAGGCCGGTAGTTCGCGGGCAGGGCACTGTCACTGCCCTTAAAAATCGGAGAGTTGATTACGTCTTGCATTTCGAAGGTAATGAACAGCTGTCGAGCGATATTGTAAACACGCATGTGAGAGAGCCACTTCGTTCAGCGTTCAATTCATGCATCAGCTTCGCATGACTGGGAATCTGACAACTGTAAGCATATGCAAGCTCCTCGACTTTTGTCTTACTACCTACCACAAATTTAACGGAATGTTTTGCGAGCAGGTTAGAGTAGTTCCAATGGGATCTCCCTATATCTGGACTTATTGCTGAGATCGTTATACAGAGCTTGGAAGAGGATATACTCACGGTCATCAGTCCGAATGTACGGGTGCGATACGTTGACGATACGTTTGTGATTCTCAAATGCAGCGAGCTACAGGCCACATAAGACCTATTTAACAATGCAATGTAAGGTATTCGTTTCACCTTGGAAGAAGAGGTGGAAAACTAACTACCAGAACAGTGAAAGGCGAATTACAAACATCAGCTTACAGAAAGCAACACACACCGATCGACTTCTAAACTTCAACAGCAATCACCCTGTTTCACAAAATAAGTTGTATGCAGACCGTAGGATGGAATCTTGACCACGCCAGCTTGTGGCACCGCCTATCCATGAAGTGCGTGCCAGTTAAATTCTTTTACATTTTACAGTCTCTTCCGTGAGTCCCGATGTCGTGTAAGGGTACACAGAAAACAGCCTTCTGCGTTTTTCATGTCAGGCGGGGTTCTCCAGGATTGTCCTTTATCTCCTTCCCTCTTCAACTTCGTGATCTAAATGATCGTGAATGACGGTTCTTTCAGACTATTTTGGAGTGGAAATTCTGCCATGCGACCGACTGAAAAATCTGGAGTATACGGACGACAGTTCTCCTTGCGTCTGATGCATTGACTATGCAAATCCTAATGCACAGACTTGTGCGTAACGCTGCACGCTTCTATGTGTACATTGCACCTTAAAAATGCGAAGTGTCGTTGCAGAACTAGGCTGACACACCTCCGGTATTAGCTATTTCGGAGCAGCCACTGAAAGTGCTGGGTCGGATCCCTTACCTTGATAGCTGTGTAATCTCTGATGGTCACATCACTGAAGTAGTTACTTCGCGTATCAACAAGGCCCCTGTGGCTTTCCAGAGGCTAAAACATTTACGGAGACGGTGGGATATCCGCTTCTCAGTGAATCGTTGGGTGTATAATGCCACGGTAAGGCCGATCTTACTGTATAGATCAGAAACCTGGCCAATCAGCGCCGTGTTTAACTACCGGTGCTTGCGGAGTACTCCTCAAGTCTTGTGGGAACTCAATGTACGCAACACTGAGGTCCGCCAGTTGGTTTTTGGCAAGAGGCCTTCCGGTGCCTCACTCAAGTCTTTGCTAAACCTTGGTCGTTTGCGTTAGCTAGGCCATATCTTCTGTATGCCTGTTGATCGGCTTCCTTGGTGTCCGTTATGAATCGTGGCTGCACCATTTTGGAGGAAACAAGGTGGCCAGTCCATGGCGTGGCATTGAGGCATGAAGAAATTGACTGAGAGGCCTGGTCATGCTGGGGCTTGACGTCTTCGTGGGGGCCTCAGGACTGTCCACACCAACGGTTGGAGACCATGTCAGACATTACGCCGTCGCGAAGTCAGCGTCGGTCCCGCATTCGGTTTCTCTCATCTAGTTGTTACTTATTGTTCCATTTTAATTAGTCTACCGCATTTCTCTGCATTCTACTCGCACCCAAACCCACTGTTCTACCGTTGTTATTTATTGTTATTACGATGTTCATCGTGGCATTTGGATCCACTGCCCTTCGGTGCCCGGATCATTCTGGAGTACTTTTGTCAAATCTGATCATGACTCAGTACGCTGTGGTCTTTCCTTGACCCTTACCGCAAGGCTTACCAAACGCCTCCTTGTATTGGCAATTGCGAACTCATATCAGCCCTCGGTCCGGCAAGCCTACCAGGATTCTCAGCGTACCGAACTTACGCTCCCTTGTCCTAATGACACTGAGCTTCAGCGGAATAAGTTCTCCACCGCCATGCAATATGCAGGAACCGCTTGCGGCAATATCAGTCGTCACCGCATCAGTCACTGGATATCCGAGACTGGACCTTAACGTGGTGCGACGGTTTGCGTACCTCATTGACCCATTGAGCTATACTAGGTGATGCCTCCGAGCATCTTGTGAGCTACTCCTACCAGGTTGGTCAATGGTGAGAGGTCAGACAAACTCAGTCTCCTGGTCCTCCAGGTTGGGGGTTTGAAATGGGATGGCGTCCATTTCTGTAAAACTAAATCACTGCCACCCCGCTGCCTTGCGGACAGGCTTTTGAGACAAAGTCTTTGGATGAGGACCCTAATCGTCCTCCCGTCTAGGTCTGGGCGCCCTGGCAGTATCCCAGCCCACATACAACCATGACATTTTTTCAAACATAAACTTCATCCTGCATCGGCCGTCGCGCAGATTATCAAGGGTCGCCTTATCTGCTGCATACAGCAGGGCGGATCAGCGAAAACATGCTACTGCTGGCATCTCCCTCCTTTCTTTTCCACCTTTTTCTCTTA